AGGCCCCTCCCAGCCCTGACATCTCCTGTTCTGAGGCCCCTCCCAGCCCTGACATCCCCTGTTCTAAGGCACCTCCCAGCTCTGACATTCCCTGTTCTGAGGTCCCTCCCAGCTCTGACATTCCTTGTTCTGAGACCCCTCCTAGCTCTGACATCCCCTGTTCTAAAGCCCCTTCCAGTTCTGACATTCTTTGATTCTGTGCTCATCTTGGGACATAAAGAACAAAAGTGTCTCCAGGTGGGCTTGGAAAGGCCCGAGGCTAAGGCAGCAGCAGGAGCATTTCTGTAGGATCCTGGAACTTCAGCTCAGATGCACATGGGACCTCAGCAGTCTCGGTCTGGCTCTCCTGGATTGGGTTGGTTTTTTTTGGTGGGGGCAGGGCCTGCCTTTCTTTGTATCCCCCATGCTTATGCGAGTGCGTGGCATACAGTGGGCACTTACTAAATGCTTATTGGCTGAGCCGTAAAGGGTGGGGTTCTCTGCCTCTCAAGGCACCTGCCCCATTGTTGGGCTCTTGGAGTTGTTTGGACCATCCCCCTGATGGTGAGTGGCAGAGATCTGCTTTCTCGCAGCTGTCCTGTCCTGCCCGCTCACTCCCTGCACCTCATTTTGCCCTCTGGGGCTGGGCAGAATAAATCCAGTGTCCCCACCCTGGCCCAGGCTGTCAGATGCTTGATGACAAGATCATGTTCCCCAGGTCCTTCCCCACCGCCTTCTGTGGCCCACTCTGCCCACAGTGGTCCAGCCCGGGCTCTGGCCAGGGGAGGGGGAGTAGGACAGTTGCCTCCCTCCCTCTGGGCAGACAGCATCCCTGAACCTTGAGACCTCACATGCTGCTGCTGCACACCACCTTGGGCTGCCTCGCCGTCCCTGAAATCTCAAATCAAATGCTCCCTCCCCCTGACAGCTGGTGGCTCCTTCAGGTCCTCCCCGGACCCTGTGGAGCTTTGGGTCAGTGCCTCTCGGGGCGCTTGGGATATATTGGACCTCTCTGGCCCCCCTCAGGATAAGAGCCCTGTGCTCTATATTCAGCAGTCGCTTAATGTTGGTTGTTTCATTCAAAGTCCCAGGACTTTTTCACCCCACCCCCACCTCCTTCCTCTAACCCTGCTGCTCCCTCTTCTCTCCTGGGCCCAGGTGCAGGAGGTAACATTGACCTCTGTTCCCTCTGTTGTCACCCCCAGAGACAAGAGGGGCGGAAGCAAAGTGAGTCAGGTGCCCACAAGAGCATCGAGGCCGTGGTGGCCCGCCTCGAGAAACAGAACGGGCTGAGCCTGGTGGGCAGGGCCAGCCCCGAGGACATCTTTGTGGACTCCTCCAAGGGCATGGACGGCATGGACAGCACGGACGATGCCGTGGTGCCTCGGGCCCTGTACGAGGAGCTGCTCAGAAGCTACCAGCAGCAGCAGGAGGAGATGCGGCATATCCAGCAGGAACTGGAGAGAACTCGGAGGCAGCTGGTACAGCAGGCCAAGAAGCTCAAGGAGTGTGGGACGCTGGTGTCGGAGATGAAGGAGCTCCGGGACCTGAACCGCCGGCTCCAGGACGTGCTGCTGCTACGGCTGGGCAGCGGTAAGTGCCAGCTGTCCTGGCGGGGTGGGCCGGGGGGGCCGGCAGGAGGGGACTGACCCTCCCAGGGACCCCGCTTAGCAAGAGGCCGCAGCAGACTCGAGGGAGTTCTGGCCCTTGTCCCGTGGGACTCCTGGCCCTTGTCCTGTGGGACTCCTGTTGGACAAGAGCCACAGAACGTGGACTGACTGAGCAGAGCGGGGCCTGGGTGTCTGTGTCCGGCGCTTTGCTGCCTCCGTCTTCACTGGTGGCTTTATCCGAAATCCGCAGAGGGCACACTTTCCGTAGAGCCCTAGTGCAGCTAAGAGCCATCGTCTTGGGTGACGGGGCCGCCAGGTTGGACGAGGATGAGGTTGCATTGTATCTGGCTAAATGTAGTTTTACTCTGTAAGTTCAAAAAATCGATTTTCAGTGTGAGATGGGAGGGCCTGGGCTAGGCAGAGCCTTCTCTGGGGCTTCTGTGAGTGGCGGCCTCAGGATTCGCCAACAACGGGGTTTTGTCAGCTCAGGAAGTTTGAGGGACAGAAGCTCCCTGTCCAGGCCCGGAGACTGTCCTCGTCCTCCACCCTGGTCAGATAGCCCCCGTCTAGAGGCCTGGGCTCAGTCTGAGGGTGGTCAGGGGAGAATGGCCAGGATGGGCCAGGGTGCCCGGTGGAGGAACAAGGAAGAACTGCATCTGGGTCTTTGAAGGGCAGCCACGTTGGCCATTGTCTGCAATACAGGAGAGCACTGAAGGAAGGGCCGGGGGAGCTGGGTTCAAATCTTCCAGCTGACACTTGCTGCCCATGTAACCGTGGGCAAGTCACTTCCCCCTCTGGGCCTCAGTTTTCTCTCCTGTAAAAGAGGAATGATAATCATGGCCCTGCCCACCTTCGATCTGGGCGTCGTTTTGGGTTGGAAAGCCCTTGGTGGGTATTGGAAAAGCAGAGGGGTGAGAGCTGCTACCAGTGCTTCTCTTCTCAGGCCAGTCATGCCCGAGGGGACCGACGCAGGCCCTGAATCACTGTGTCTGAGCCAGAAGGACAGGCTCCTTTCTGTGCAGGATCCCAGGTCCCCGGAGATGGGCAAATCTCCATAAACATGGTGTGTGGCCTGCGTCAGCTCCCTTGCCCCTCTGTATCCTCACCTGTAAAATGGGTGTGCTAAGGTACTAGAGAGACATCAGGTATTACTATTATTTTCTTGTTCGGTCCTTCCTGAGACCTGATCAGCTCAGTGGGGAAAGTGGCCCGGAGAGGAGACATCACCTGCCCAGGGTTACCTGGCCTCCCCCTGGCAGTGCTGAGCCTAGAACCTCGGGGTAGACGTCCTGGTGTCCCAGGCTGCCTCGCCTCCTCCCACCGGCTGTGATCCACAGGGCTGTACATCTTAAGGGCTGGTAGAGATCATTTCATCCAGAAGTTCTTCTCTAGTCCGGCCAGCATGGTTTCCATTGCCCCAGAGGTTCATGGGACTCCCCCTTGGTCATTGGCCAAGGAGCCCAGAGTTAGACCCAGGCCCTGAGCCAGCAGAGGAATCAGCAGGAAGGAGTGACCATGCCAGGCTTTTTGATCTGGGGGGAGAAGAGGAAGAGAGGCTAGACCTCTTCTGCTTGCCCCCCAGGACAGAGCTAGGACTCGTGGGTGGATGGCGACATTCTTCACAAGTGGAGCCATCCCACAGTGGATGGCGGTGAGTGCCCTCGTCGAAGGCGAGGGATCCCTGGTCATAGGGAGTTGGGCTGCTGGCTCCCTCAGGGCAGTCCTGAGACTGAGTCAGCGCTGCGGAGGGAAGGAGCATCTTGTTTGGCCTTGGAATCCAGGGCTACGCTATTGGCAGCTCCCGGTGGGAGGTATTTGCAGGAGATGGATTTTTGGTTTTGTTTTTTGTTTTTTTTTTTTCAGGGAACCCACTCCAAGATGAACCTTGTGACTTAAAGACAGCCCGAGCTGTCCTTAGTCAAAGTTGAATTTAAGCCTTTAAAAAACCTCAGGAAGCCACAGGAGTGCTGGCCTTTGGCAACAGGGAGAAATTTCCGTCCCCAAATACGCAGCCTTTAACCGTCGTGCGGCGGAGGCCTGGGGAATGGGGCATGGTTTTTGTTGTTTTCCTGCAGCGATTTGCCTGGAAAAAAATTGCCCCTGCTGCCTGAGCACCAGCCCCATGGAGGAAAGAGATTGGGCATCCCAGCCCCTGGAGCGGCCACGGGAGCGCAATTCGGTCTAACCCAGCAAAAGTTTACTCAGCATCTTTTGTTGTTCAGTCGGTTTTCAGTTGTGTCTGATTCTCGGTGACCCCAATTGGGGTTTTCTTGGCAAAGACACTAGAGTGATTTGCCATTTCCTTTTCCAACTCATTTTATAGATGAGGAAACTGAGGCAAACAGGGTGAAGTGACTTGCCTAGGGTCATGTGGTGTCTGAGGCCAAATTTGAACCCAGATCCTCCTGATTCGAGGGCCTCTGCTCTATCCACTGCATCACTTAGCTGCCCCTTAAAGTAATATTTTTACATGCTTCAAATAAAATGCATGGGATTATAAAGGAAAGCTGTCAGATGGAAATAGTTGTCAGAGTCTTTTTAAAAATCCAAGTCCACGGCGCCTGGAGAGCTCTCCATGGCCCAGCTCAGAACCCTCTGTCTGCTGTAACTCCCTCCCTTTGCAGAGAAGCAAACACCCGGGAGGGTCCCCTGGGTCACCAGCCCTTCTGCCCATTGTCTGCAGGCCACTCCAGGTGGGGCTCTTTCTGCGACTCACCGTGCTGATGGAACAACAGTGCCTCACTTTTCTTTTTAAGGAATGGCCCTGGCCACCAGTGGGTTGGAGGAGGAGGGCTAGGTTGGAGGCATGCCACATTTGCAGGGCAGTTATCTGGGGCTCTCTCTGAATCCCCACAAATAGTGTGGATTTGGGCTCCCAGAACTAGGAGGATCACAAGAGAAGCAGCTTCTCTGCCTAGATGGGACAGGAGGCCCGTGGTTGGGGTCTGGAACCATTTCAGATGATATGTCCAGAAGCATTGGGGAGGACACTGATCTTCCCCAAGTCCTCCACCTCCCAATCCCCAGCATGACCAGAGACACTGGGGGTTTCCACTTTGGCAGGGTCTGTGTCCGAAGGCCAGAAATAGATGACTATTCAAGGCATGTGGAACCTTCTGCATTCAGGGATGCATGAGATGCCATGGTGGTGGGTGCCTGAGCCCTGTGGAGACAGGACATGCCCTATGGGATGCCCAGGGTACAGCAAGGGACAGGAAACAAGAGGCTTGGGGGTAGGCAGAGCCAAGAACCAAGCTCCTAAAATGAACACAAGGTTCAGAGGCAGAGAGAGGGAAGGGGTGAGTGTGTGTGTACGTGTGTGTATGTGTATGTGTGGGTGAGAGAAACAGAGAATACCTGTGTATGTGTGAGTATGTGTGCATATGTCTGCATGTGTATATATGTGTGTGAGAGAGAGAGGGAAGGAGGGAGGGAGAGAAAGAGAGTACGCGCCACTGTGTGTTTGTGTGAGTGTGTTTAGAAAGAAGAGCATTTCAGGACAGGGGAGATACCCAGACCCCCCCAGCCTGAGCGTGGTCTCTACTGAACAATAGCCAGGGGCAGCAGTGGTCTTTGGGCATTAGCTGGGTGAGGTGGGCGCTGACCTGGGCACAAGCATGTGGAGCCACCTTGTTGTAGGAGCTGTGCTGAGTCTTCCCCCTCCTCAGACCAGTGGCACCAGTGCTGAATTCAAACACTATGCCGTCACTACTGTATGACTTTGGACCCACTTTCCCTACCCTGGGTCTCAGTTTTGTCACTATTAAAAAGAGAAACTCGGATTCTGTGTCCTCGAATGTCCCCCAGCTCTGGATCCTGTGCTCCTCAGAACCGTGGGCTAGAGCTCAGAGGAGGGAGCTATGGTGGAGTGGTAAAACCCTTCCCTCCCCTTGTGACCTTGGGCAGGGCCCTCCTTCCTCTCTCTGGGCCTCAGTTTCCTCCTCTGTAAAATGAGAGGTTTGGACTTACTGAGCTCTAGCATTGCTTCCAGCCTAGAACTGTAGGGTTTGGGGTAAAACTTTGAGCTCCCCAAGGGCAGGAACCGACCTGGAGCTGACCTCCATGAATTCAGCTTCGGTTCTCCTCCTCATGTTCCCCGTTGGTGTCAGGAAGGTGACTCTGGGTCCTTGAGGGAAGAAGGCTCTGGCCACACTACACATGCTCGGGTAGGTCCAACACCCAGCTTCTGGTGGGGGCCTGCTGATGACCATGACCTCGGCTCGGCAGAGCTTGACCCCCGCTGCAGCAGTCGCAGTGCCTCCAAGGTTTGAGTGAGGGGGTTAGCAAGGTGGCCGCAGAGGGGCACATGTGACAAGACACCTTCGCTCTATGCTCTTCTGCTTCCCAGAAACCCTGAGAGGTTGGTAGAAAAGCCAGTTAACCTGCAAGCATTTATTAAACACTTACTGTGTGCCGAGCCCTGGAGGTGCAAAGAAACGGGTCCTGCCCTCAGGGAGCCTTTAGTCTAATGGGAGAGACAACATCAGGCAACTGAGATACCAACACTGGGTAGACCAAATAAATTAGAGATAACCAAGGGAGGGAAGGCACTTGAGGGCTTTTTAACCTGAGGTCAGTGAACCTTTTTTTTTTTTTTAAATATTCCAATAGCTGTATTTCAATATTCCTCATTTCCTTTGTTATCTTTGGTATTTAATTTTACACATTTAAAAACCTTCTGAGAAGAGGTGTCTAGGTTTCACCAGACTGCCTCCAGTGTGGTCCAGGACACAGAAAAGGTTAAGAACCCTTGGTGCCGTGGATGGCCCTCTGCTTCTCCTGATAGGCGGAGGAAGCAGGACAGACTGTCGTGAAGGCTCCTGCTCCCCATATCCAGTGGTTCTTTAAAGACGCGGCTCTTGAATTACCTGCCCCCTCCTCCAGTAATAATAACCAGGCTCACAGACTCCTGGCTTACAGCCATGCATAGAGCTCATCTTTGGAAGTAATATCAGGCTTGTTGCAGTCATACCTGTGGGTCAC